CTCTAATTATCAATTGTTGGTAAATATTTGTGATTTGCACAAAATAAATTGGAGACATCACTTCTTTTTAGAGGTTCTACAATATTTGAATTGGATAGCAGCAAATTTTTCTTATAATTTAAATAAAGTCCATATGAAATATTACATGGACCTTTTATCGTTAGAACTCTAATTCTTTTTCTAACAATTTCAGTGCTTATTATTGTGTTCATGTTTTCTTCCTGTGTTTTCAGCAATCATATGCTATATGTTGCTAGCTAATGACCTATTACCATTCAATTTTTCCAGTTCACCACTGCAGATAGCCAAAATAGTGATACATTTTAGACTATCAATTTGTGACACAGAATTAATTTTTAACTTATTAAACCTGTGCCCTGTAGTACTAAATTTTACTTCCTTCATCAAATGCCTTAGTAATTCTTTTTATATGACAGTTCCAAATTTCAGCTTTTGGTTATATATATGGATTAAGTCAATATGTGTGTGTATTTATGTTTGTGTGTGTATATGTATTTGTGTATATTTGTGTATACATACGTATTGTCACTATATTTATTTTTTTAAAAATCATTAAAGACTTAATATCTATTGCACAGAAAATGATATCTAAATGGACACAAATGTCAGCACTGTTATTCATAAAATATTTCTCATAAATGTAGATTTAAGTTGCAATTACATCAAGAGCTGTCCTTTTTCAAGAGTTACCTCATTGGCCTAAAGCAAAAAAAAAAAAATGATAGCACTGTGTCCTTAACCCTTGCACCACCAGGGAGGCCAGGCAAAAGGAATCTAGTAGAAGAGAAGAGAAAATACGAGTCAGGGAGCAGTGGGCATGGGAGGGCAGGGAAAGGAAGGAGATGGAAGAAAATTCCCTCCATGACGGTGTACCATTAGCATTCCCTCCTGCAACATATAAAAATGTGTTTTCTCCTCAAACTTCATCAGCTTTATAAATGTTTGCCTAACTGAGAGATGAGAATTGGAATTTCATTGCCATTTTACTTTTCAAATTAACTTTCTACAGGGATTTGACCATTTTTAAAAAGAATTTTGATTTTTTTCCCCTCAAGTTTTAATCATTCTTTCATCTTATCTGTAATGTATGTTGAAGATATTTTTCCAAGTTTTCATGCATATTTTGACCTTGCTTTAGGTGTTTTCTGCTATGCCAGATCTTCCTATCTTTACAGTCATTATATTTATTTTTTTAGGATAATTTAAGAATTCTTTCTCCAGAAAGTAATGATTGCAATTTTCTTCACATATATATGCATATTCCTTTAATATTATAAGATCCATGAGCCATTTGAAGTTATTTCCTACATATGAGGAATATATCCAATTTTAACCTTTACAAATGACTATACAGATGTGTGACAGAACATCTAATAAGAAGCCCATGTTTGACAGTAGTGTCTTTTCATGTATGAGTTTCTTTATGTAGTTGAGACTACTTTTGGCCTTTTCATTCTATTCTGTTAGTCTGTGTATTCTTTGTTACTAGCCAGCAAAGTGTTATAAATGGGGAAATTTGAAATTTGTTTTAATATTAGTAGACAAAGTCATTCCTCAGAGCTCAGCTTGTGTAGTCTACATAGTCCATTGACTGTCTTTCACATGAACTTCAGTGTCAATTTGTTCAGTCCCATCAGTCATTGGATGTTTGTTGGGATCACTTCAAATTCACTTAAGCAAGGTCTTATCCAAAAACAGATGTGTTTACCTTTCTAACTTCAACTGTTTTGTCTTTCTGAAATCTTTCACATATTTTTCATATACATTATGAACAGCCTTTTTAAGTATATTTCCAAACACTTCAGTTTTTCACCATTGCAAATAAGGTTTTTCATGTATTATGTCTTGCATATGATTTGTGTGTTGTTACAGCTGTATCTCTAGAGATACTGAGAGAACAGGATTTGTGTGGTTTTCTTTGATTTTTTAAATTTTTAGATTGAAGGTAAGATATGTAATAAAACTACTCTTTTTTTTGAAGATTTATTTATTTTGTACAAGAACCGGGGTACAGGCCAGATGCGCGGGGAGGGTGAGAGGATTCACCAGAGAGAGAGCGGGGGAACAGAACAGGCAGACTGACAAAATACCCTACTGAGGGGAGCAGCAGGAAAAACAGGATCACTCTACCGCGCCATGTGGGATTCTAGCCAGTGGCCCAGCATAGACCCCACACTGCAGAGGATGTAAACAGCTTCAAAGTGCGGTGCTCAACGGCATGCGCCACCAGGGAGTCCCAAAACTACTCTTAACACATTAAAGATACTGATATCAAACAAGTAATTTTTTTTCTTTTTTATCCAATGGCATGAAAGTAGAAATCCACAGCAGAAGAAACCAGAAAGTTCCCAAATTTGTGTCACATCTGTTTTTGTAAATAAGTTATTTGTAAAACAAACCATTTATCTATATCCAAGATTTCTTTTTAATTACAATGCCAGAGCTAAAGAGTTTAAACAGATTGACCCAAAGGTAGAAAAAAATTTCTATCTACTTTCTTTACAGAGAGATTTCCAAATACTCACTAAAATTTATATTTTCAAAGTTCAAAAGGTAAAAAAATTATGAAATTAAAAAGGGTATTTAAATATTAAAATGATTTCCAAATTTATGTAATGGAATGAAACTGTACGTTTCCAAAGATTATTTCAAGTAATAATGTGTTTAAATAAAGGCAAAAAATGTGTTTAAATAAAGGCAAATAATATGAGCCAGCAGGAGAAAGAGAATTCATTTTAGCAGTCGGAGCCATGAAACCTCCAGGAACGAGCTCCCCAACATTCATATGTACATGGAGACATAGATATGTATATGTCAACTCTGGTGAAATATGTATATATATATATATGTATTATGTATTGTTATTATGTATGTATGTATGTATTTATTTATTTTCAACTCTGGTGAAGCTGCTATTTGTGTCCTAAAAGTGGTTTCAGGAGAGCTCAATGAAAAGTTCCCTATTTTTTTTTTAAGTTTATTTATTTTTTTCTTTTTAAAGGTTTATTTATTTATAAAAGCACTGGGTACAGTCAGAAGCGTGGGAGGGTGAGAGAATTTACCAGAGCCAGAGCAGGGAGCAGAACAGGCAGACCGACGAAGCACACTGAGAGAAACAGCGGGCGTGGCATTAGAGGTCTGCGCGCCCTGTGGGACCTTCGCCTGGCGGCCAGGGATCGAACTGGCACTGCAGAGGCTGTGGGCAGCTTCGCAGCCCAGCGCGCCAAGGGGGAGGCCCTCCATGAGAAGTTTCATCCAGAGTCCCATCAAACAGAAACAGGCACAGAAATAACTCTCTAAATTGCAAGCTGACATTCAAATATTAAATTGTCCCTAGGTACCACTTGGAATTTTGAACTGTAATCAACTGACCACAACTTCTTAGTTACTTAGGTCACTGTCCTTATTTTTGCCAACAGCCAAAAACTGATATTGAAGCATCTCCGGATATAAGCATGAACTCTCAGTCCATCTGCAAAATAACTATCTTTATTATAAAAGTTATATCACATTAAAAGAGAAACTAAGAGCTAAATATTAGGAAGAATAGAAAAGGATTACATGTCCTGCAATCTGTGAATTAAATCCTTGGTTATTTTATCAAGAATCAAAAGTCCTTCTTTAAATTCAATATCCAAGGACTTTGAAAATGAAGTATTGAATCCTAACTGAAGTTTGAAACTCAGTCCCAACATATGCCCACAGGACTTTCCACAAAACCAAAATATTCTTCTGTGTACCAAACCTGACAAGATTACATACATCAATATTTAAGGAGAAGTATGAAGAATTGCTTAAACTAATGATTGAACCCACCTCTAGATCAACACAGAGAGAAATTTACTGAAATAAAAACAAGTTCTTCAAATCAGAGACAGAAAAATTTCACTGCAAGTCACACAATCCTAATGAACTTATGATGACCAACACAAGGAGGGGCTCTACTGTGCCATGTATGATGTCCCTACTATTGAGCACCAAGTTGTTAGAGGTGGACAACCCCAGGGCTATGGGGATGACCTGCATGTGTCTTCACCCTTATGTTTTAGGACATGGGATGAGACTGAAAAGCAGAAACCACAGATAAATTTTAAAATGTTTTGTTTACAAGGGGATAGGAAAAGGGAGAGGGAGAGAGAGAGATCAACTGGATATTTCCTACCAAAAGTATCAACTGAGGTGAGACGCCAGGGTGCAAGTCAAATCTGGAAAAGCAAAAGAGTGACAGCATGTATTTGTTTAGGTTTTAAGGCAAATATGGCTGTTTAACTCTCCCCAAGTTCCTGGTGGACACTGTAAAGGAAGCCAGATTCAAGGAATGCTGGGAGTTGTAGTCCTAAGTGTCTGATCTCAGTGGCTTGGAGATGGGTGTGTAGTCTATAAAGATGTTAGCGGGTGAAGTTCATTTAGCATTGCAATCACAGGCTCACTTGACTCCTACCATTCCTATAACAACTAAGAAAGAACTGACTACACAATTTCATGAAAACAATAGAATACCTAGCAATCTAAATGCAAAGGTCATACACCAAGACACATAATAAAAAATTGTCAATTATCAACATAAATATACAGAAATCCAGAAAGACCTCATTTCAAGAAATATGAAACAAAATGTCTCTTCCAAATTTTGTATGGATACAAAAGACTGGTGATGGCGACATATATCATTTAATGTGAATCTTTGTTTTATTTAAATTTCTACAGGGAGATTGTACAAAATTATATGCATAAATCATACTCAATTCAATGTTTAACATGCATTTATGGAAATATCCATTACAATATTAATCTTGATGCTTTATAATTTCAAGTATAAGAGCACAAATTTATCAATTTTAAAACATTTCAAATATGTCAAAATCATACATACAATCAGACACAATTAGAAAAATTTTACAGATTTTAGAAGTACATAATTGGAATACCATTCTTAAGATGAACCTTCATAGTCCACTTCTTCCCCAAGAAACACCTACATAAGTTCTTGCTTACAGATATATAAGTTTATCCATATGCAAGTTTGATCCTGAATACCAAGGTTTGGATTGTATACTATGCAGTTCTTTGAACTTGAAATTTTATGGGATGGTGATCTATAATGAAAAATAAAATATTAACATATGGGAAATGGAAATGAGAATGTTCATTGATGGGTTTTTATTAAATAATAGAACTTTTCAAAGGAGAGTGTAGGCTAAGCCTATTGACAGCCAGCAAAATAAAAAGTTATCATGGACACTATTTTCACTGGATCGTTCCAGTGAATATAACATTTGTGCCTCCACCCACACCCATCAAAGCAAAAAAGCCTATCTCACAAGTTCTTTCATGGCCACAAGTACACAAATTCCATGTTAATTGACTGGGTTTTCCAATTGCACCAAAATTATTATTCTGTTGAATCAATTTTTTCTGTATCCTCATACTTTAGGGAAACTATCTTAGCTACTGTCTCTGGAAAGATGAAATAAGTTCACAAAGAACAGAAAAACTCTGGACTGATAGAAACTTACAGATCTTTTTTTTTGATTAATATTTTATTTTATATAATTCTTACATCATTTTTTGTTTTTGCACAATGTATGCATTATCATTTTGGTTATATTCCCCATACAATTGCACTCCCCTTTATTTGGACCCTAGTTGTTCCTCACCCCTTCCCACCAACCCCCAATGAAACTTACAGATCTTGAGAGAGAGCAGAGCCATTCAGCCACACCCAGGTTTGTTGTTTTTCACTGTAGGTGGCTCCAATCCAGAAAAATTTTCTACTGAATTTCATAAAGTGCTGCTCAGAGACAGGAAAAAAAAAAAGACAATTAGCATAATTTAAATCTACTTTGGAATAATATATTTTTTAAAAAACTTAGTATCCAACATTGATTCAGCCCTTCCATCATACACACATAAAAACATTTTTAATGCTTGTTTAGGTAGTGGTCACAAGTATATTTTTCCTCAAATATCAAGCCTATCTACCTATGGGGGAAAATAACATAAAAATCTCAGGTCTTCACAGAATGAAGACTTTATCAAAATATTACTATGTATTATATAGTATATTATAAAGGGAGTTAGAATTTTACTTCACAGGAATCCAACATCCAAATTTGACTCTACATCAGAGGCTTAGGGAATAGATTTTGTGGGTAAAATCTTCTCAATCTATATTCAGTACAGATTCTGCATACAGCTAGAGAAACATTTCACTTTTCTTAAGAACTGGGTAATTTTTATGATCATACATTTCATTTTCATTGCATATCCCATAATGATGAAAAAAATACAGAATGACAAAATAAATTATAAAATTAATGAAAGCACTGAGATTCAGCTATTTAGTTTTTTAGAAAAATACTCATATATTAGATTCTCTTTGAATTCTTCATTATCTGATTAAAGACTGAATCTAATTCAGCTTACTTAACTAGTATACATTCCTAGGTCAAAAAATACGTAGGAAACCAGAATTGAATACATGCCAATTCATTTCTGCTGTGCATCTGAAGAAGTGTGGAGTTCTGAGAAACACAGAAACTGAGAATTTCATTCCAAGTTTTTTTTTCACTGGAAATGAAGTAACAGTTGCAGCTGTACAGGATCCATCTTTCCTGGCAAGAACAGCAGTCAGAGTCTAAGAAAAAAAAAAAAAAGCATAACTCTTGATATTGGAGATTCTGATTCTTTAATACTCTCTACTCCTATAAAAATATTGTGCTTTTTCCTAAAATTTTCTAGAAAAGTAAATTCAGTGTTGAACAACCATTATAATATTTATCTTGATGCTTCATAATGTCAAGTGTAAGTGCACAAATTCATCAATTTTAAACATTTCAATTGATCCGACACAATTAGAAACATTTTACAAATTCTAGAAGTACATAATTGTAATACCATTCTTAAGGTATCCCCTCATTGCCCACTTCAGCCCCAAGAAGTCCCTAAATAAACTGTTGTTAAAAAAAAAAAGAGGAAATTCTTTGAACATCAATCAGAACATAAACTTGGATGGTCAAGAGGTAGTTAAAAAGTTTTTTCTGTTGAGTCTTAAATGTACATAATGTTCTGTTTCAATTATATCCCCAAGTAGAAACAAATTGAAGGAAAAAAAGAATAAAATAAAGTGAGAAATAATCACAGATGATATTGAGACAACTTTGAAATCTCACTAGGTAAAATACATTAAAAATTGTGCATTGAACTGCTGAAATTTGTGTACTACATTCTGAGTCAAGGGAGATGCAGAAGCAAAGGTATAGATATAAATTCATCGGTTATGAGCAAACACAATTAGGCGATTAGAATTAGCTGGGATATACAATAGAACTTATTATTTATTTATTACTTGAGTATGATTGCTCATGTAGGAAAAACTAGGTTATTTCACCTTAATATTTTCCTTATTTAAATACACAAATGATGCATCTTCAAGTAATTTAATAATTCTTACAATGGAAGACAAGGAAATAAGACTATCCTGCAATTAATATATCAACTTGCAAAACTAGATCACAATATTCCATCATGATTCTGTGTGAGAAAAACAGGAAACTGCATATTTCATCCTCTACCAACCCCAATTTACAAAATATGGAATTTACCTTCCTGGGATATGAGGGTGGTTCCTGGAGAGAGTGTTGGTTCAATATCTAATTTATGAAAAGCTATCAGAAATGATAAGAAATTAACTATTAGACACAAGTTTGTGAAACAATAAAAAACTTCACATTAGTAAATGAAAGCTTTATTAAATGATTTCATCAGTGCTCTGAACTTTTTATAAACTTGACCAGGAAAACTTACAGTTTTTCAACACAATTCCCAAAATAGCCATCAACATAAGACACAATACTGCTAAAATCCCAGAAATCCACCTCCATGGAGTGGTACAAAAACCTATAAAGAAAGAGAGGTAGGGTAATGACTTCAAGGAAAGACATAGGAGTCGAAGATCTCAAAGACAGAAACTAGCACAAGCGAATTGAAAAAAAGGTTTTAGTTTGGAAACCCCATCATCTTCCCAATGAAACACTAGAAATATGAAGACAATGCATAGGAAACTGAAAACAAAAATCTATTCTTCTGTGAGAGTATACACACTTTCTTTTTGCCAAATGCATGTCATTAATATGATTTACCAATTATTATTTTTTATTTTGTATTACACATACCTGCCATGAGGAGAGATGCCCCACTCCATGCAGGGAAGACTCACATGTGCTTGTTCCAGAAGATCCGGGTCACGTCATGGACTGATCTGGAGGCTGAGCAATCTTGAGTTTGTGAAGGAAAAATGTAAAAGAAAAAGAGAAATTGTGCATTCAAACAATGTTCTTATATAACTATGTACTGGTGAGAATGGACGGACAGTGTGAACCAGACGCAGCAAAATCACGAGCATCTGAATGTTCTGGCACCACAATACAGGAAGCTGTCACTGTAACTGCCAACGCCTCCCTTTGTTTATGGTAAAAGCTCAGCATCAGTTTCTTTTTTTTAATGACCAAAGATCAAAATAATGTTTAAAAAATATTTTGGGGCCACCCTGGTGATGCAAGTAGTTAAGTACTGCACAGAGAAGCTATCTCCAGCCTCTGCAGCACAAGTGTGAGCCCTGGCCAGCCATGGAGCTACCCACAGGGCACAGGAAACCTCTCCTGTCTAACCCGCTGCTCCCCTCAGCAGTGTATTTCTGTCTATCTGCCTGTTCTGCTCCCCACTCTGTCCATGGTGAATCCTCTCACTCCTACACCTCTGGCCTGTACCCCAGTTCTTGTATGCATCAATAAATAAGTCTTAAAAAAATATTTGGGTAACAGGAGAAACATAGGGAAATCTAAATACGTAATTAGTGTAATAAAGTTCCACATCATAAAAATTTCCTTATTTAATAAGAAACAGTCATTTCTTACATGGTTAAAGCACTTAAACATAGTTTAGATTTATTTCTGAAACTGACTTAATAATGAAGATATATAAATAAACTCATTATTGGTGAAAAACCAAAGACATGAAAAACTATGAAAATTGTCAAAAAGACTTAACTTGAAACTTGGTAGTAAATCTCCATGAACTCATGCAGTTAATTTTAAATCAAGCCTTTCTCCACATTTGTATATTTTGTGAATTTTCATTTTCTTAGCACAGAGTGTTTGGCATTTCCATGTCTTATTCTGTGCTGTGATCCCTGTCTCTGTAACTCAACTGGGGACGTAAGGGATAAAACAATTTATAAACACTGTGATCTCCCGCTATTGCTCCATGCACACACACACAGACACAGACATGTGCTCTAGCACAGCCTCAGCTGGCCTGAGCCAACACTCAGTGTTTCATTCACACTGACCTTCAAACCTTCCTTCAACAGTTGTCTCCCCAGTGTTCCCTTCCCTTCAGGGCTTTGAAAGTGGCTATAGTTCATACAGGAAGACAGATCAATAATAATAATACTAAGCTAATTAAATAATCTGATGGACCAAATGATGAGGTGAAAAAGATTTTGGAACCTTGAATTCCTGAGATAAAGGACTTCCAAGATTTCATCCTGGGCCGGAAAATAATAACACCTCTTTATACCTTTACAGCAAAAAACAATAAATATAGAAATCAGGAATAGTATCAGTAGCTCCTTAGTAAAGTAGCAAAGAACAAACAGAAGAAGAATCATTGATTTTACTGCCAACCTCTTTTATACTGTGAATTTTTAATGAATATGCAAGTTTAGCTTTGGAAACAAAATAGACTTTTGAGCAAATAGCATAAATCCCCCAAAAGACTAATTCATATAACACACTTACATATTTTGAAAGATAGCATTTTGCAATCTGCATCTATCATCATATAAATAGTGTTGCTACTCCTAATTCTCACCTTATTGAAAAATAAAATCATTTTAGTTTGACACATATTGTCCTAATACCTTAAGAAAGAAATGAAGTTTTCTTTACATGCGCACATTGTTTGGTGAAAATGTGAAACCAAATCATGTGCAGCCTATCTGTATTCTTAGTGCTTGTAACATACAATTAGGATCAAAATAAAATCACCAGCCCAAGTTTACTAAGAAATGTTAGTGACTTTATCATTAAGAGTTTTATAACATATGAAACAAATGACATTTAGGAAAGGTGTTCTCTCTGGGTTGATCAGTGAAAAAAGAGCAAAAGCTCCTGTAGTAGGAGCAAGAACATCAAAGAAAAAAAAGTCCGGAGTCTAGTCCCCACATCATTTTATTTTTAATGATACTTTTTGCCTTATTTCTATTAATGAAGAGGGAATTACTTCTTTCTTATAATTTTATTATATATACATATATTACATCATTCTTCCTTTTTGTACAGTGCATGCTCTCTCCTCTCAGGTGCAGTAAGTTTTCTTTTGGCAAAATCTGGAAGCAATCACTGTGATCCATGACTTCAAAATGAGAGGCTCAAATTGGTTTATAAAATACATTCAAATCAGGTGTTTTATAATTTTTTTTATATTTATGCTTCAAGCAGAGACTTAAATTATATAAAAAATAATATTTTGGTTTAAAATTTATATAATACCTTTTACAATAAGATTAGGGAGGTGAGAAATGATGCTGAGGTGTTTCAATGTAAGTGGTTCCTTTTTTGTCAGAATGGACTTGAATTCTCCCTAAGAAAACTGTGAAGTGGAAAGTTTCTTTAAATATAAAGGCTTTCATTTTAAACCATCCCCTTTCCCTACATTGTGAGACTGATGATGATAATGTGAAAAAAGGGGAGGGAGAGAGAGAGAGAGAGAGTGTGTGTGTGTGTGTGTGTGCACACTCACATCACATCTGTATGGACACACAGACACTTTCATCCCTTGGGCCAAGTGGGGTAAACTGGATGGAGAAGAATAATTATTATTCTGTTTTCTTTCTTTCTCTCACATTTCACATCCGGAGCTTGACTTCACTATGAAATGTGGATGACTGACGTCATATCTAAGGTTAAACGCAGAGAAAAAACACCCACAAAAACGCTCAGACACTTAACACATTATAGAAAGGAAAATAGCACCTCCATCACCAGGTGTTGAGTAAATGTGACCCTGTCAAATGCTGGGAGGAAGTTTATAAAGCCCTGCTATAAAGAGAGTCAATTAACAAAATGAATTCCAACCCTGCAGCTCAGAGACACAAAGATTCATGTATTCACTTTTGCTCCTGCAACTCAGGTCACCTTAGATTTGTAAACTAAATACCTGCCGTCAAATGTAGCCATCGAATCTTGCACTCTAAAATGATTTTTTTCTCTTTTAATAAGAAAATTATACTGTGATTCATTTTTTTATATTTTTTCAACTTTTTTTTTTTGGCCATTCATTTATAGAATGTAAATCACCCTCACCTGCATTCCTGTAAGGAAAGTTGAGAACAGAGATGTGATGAGCAGTTTTCCTTCCTAAGTTATTAAAGATCCCACCTCCTGACACCTGAATCTAGTGAAACACTGTGGGAAAGCTCTGGCTTTTCCTGTAGCTGGAGTGTCAGGGCAGGTCGAATGAAGTCACAACAGAATCTTCTTTCTTAAAAGGATGGGACTATTTTAGATATTTAGACCTCTAAGACAGTTCCATTTGATAGTTCAGGAAAAAAAAAAAACTACATCATTTTAAAACAAATGATAAAGATGTTTAAAATTACTAGATTCATGGAGCTCCAAGTAGCTGTTAAATAAAACAATGGATGACATTTTACTCTATGTTCAAATCAATATTAGATTATAATGTTTTTATTTCTCTCTAGTCACCTAAGGAATAAAATATGAACTTATTAAGCTTCTTAAGTGCAGTGTCACAGGGTAAGAGCACTGAATACATATATATTAGACATATATTCACAATTTGATACATTTTTGCAGGAACATGGGTATCTACACCGATATAATTATTATTGATCTATTTTATTATAAATTTTCCTAAATGCTATATATATATTTCCTAAAAACTTGAATTTTATAAAATTTCTATATTTTCATTTTACATAAAACTTGTTCTAGTGTGAGTCTAGAGCACTAGAAAGAATTACATGTGTTCAAAACTTCAATATCTAGCGGTCATATTAAATGTTTACATTCACTGGAAAGCAAACCAGTCTCTCCAGGTATTGTCCACTGTGGAAAGCAAAAGTCCTCCATTCTGGGAAATAGTTTATTAGTCCAAGCCAGAAAAAAAAAAATCTGGAGGCATTAGCCAAAACAAAACAGAAGAGATATCAAATCACAGGAAAAATATTAAAATTGATTCAACTTATGCAAACACAGTTTTCTCTCAAACATGATCCCAAATTGTTTCAACAGCGTAGCAAAAGTTTGCAATCCAAATCTACTTTTAAACCATATTACCTATTTTTGCATAAAATCACAGGGCAGAATAACTGAATAGCAATTTTAGCTGCTTTGTTGGAATACTCCATAAAGGATCAGAGCAAACTCTTGACATCCTGTCCACATAGGCTTCAAGAACAAAGTTGATCTCATCAGCCTCCACCTGAGCTTCCTCTTCTCGGGGATACGAGGGCTTTTTCTTTTTCCGGGTTGTCCAGTCCTGTCCATGGAGGCAGCTTCCCCACCTCTCTTGGGCGTCTCTGGAACCTACCAACAAAGCCACAGGTTCTCCTCTTCTTGGTCCAGCTCTGCTTCAACTTCCTGAAAGATTCCACTCAAAGCCACACAATGAAACTCATGTCCAATTGCTTTAGTTTAAGCAGACAAAATCCCTATGGAAGTTATGCAAAAATAGACTCTGAAATAAGTAGTAAAAAAATTACTACCACTATTTTCATGCTATGTTGGTATCAAGGGGAGAGAAAATGTGAACACAAGTTAGCTTTGCTGGAAAAAAATATACAACACTGCTGCAGGTCCTGGTCACTCAAAACAGGAAAACTTCGCGGATTCAGAACAAAATACAAAAAAAAAAAAAATTACCAGTATTTTGTCAAAGAAAACTTAGTAAAAATCAGGTGTATTTCCAGGTCTATTCAGTTCTTTGTAGGAAATTTTTACTCTCAACAGTTCCATCAACAGGAATCTGTTGAGAGCTTTACTCCCTATTTTCTCCAGAAACAATTTCTGTACTATACAATTTTGCAAGCTTTCCAGTGGGAACCCTGAGAAAAATTTTCATCTGAGACTGTACCCCAGCATCCATACATTTGATCTTCAACACCA